TATATATATTTATTATTTTACAAAAAATTAATTTTATTACAAATCTTAATTGTTGATTTTATAATCAACAATTGTGAGTATTTTATTTTCTAAAGTTCACTCCCTCACTTTAGAAAAATCAAATCCAATGGTTTAATCCCACATTGTAACCTAAGGATGATAACTTGGTCCCAAATTGACAATAGTCAACTTAAGTAAATCATATAAATTAATTTTGTAAAATTGAGTTAGATCTTTTATAAGTCCAAACTTTAAGAGACATTTTTAATTATTGGTCATTTTTACTAATGACAACTATCTACTATTTGGGCATTCACTGTTGAATGAGAAAAAAAAGAGTAAAGATTGAGAGAACATGATTATTAATAATATTTTTTTATTTAAGTTTATTTTATATTAGTATAATTTATTAAATTTATACATCACTTCTATATATAAATAAGAATAGTTATCTTGCACAAGAACATTTGTAAGAATTTCACTTTAATGAGATGATTTTAGGATTTTTTTAACTTTTTTTAATCTATTTCAATTTATATTTATCATATTTATTTTTAAATTAAATTTTAATATATTTAAAAAAAATTATCAATAATAATTCTATATAAATATGAGAAAAAATATTTTGCACGAGAGCTCAATTTATATTTATCATATTTATTTTTTAAAATTAAATTTTAATATCATTCAAATAAATTATCAATAATCACTATAATAATTACTTTGGTGGAGAATTTTGTGGTTTCTTTTAATGAGTAAAGGTTTCTCTTTAATTAACAATAGTGTTTTTAGGCATTTTTTCACAACAAGAGGTGTTTTAGGATTTTTTTCAGCTTATTATATATTTTAATTTATATTTATCATATTTATTTTTAATTTAAATTTTAATATTTTAAAAATAAATTATCAATAATTAAAATAATTTTATCTTATATTATAAATTAGTTATTAGAAATCGAAAATATAATTGATATGCTTAAAATAATGTTTTACAAATTTAAAATATAAATATAATTTATTATTTAAATATAGTTTTAAATATAACATAACATCCTTAAAAAATATCTTATTATTCAAGTATAATTTTAAATATAATATAATTTATTATATTATTTAAATATAATTTATTATATATTTTAATTATACATAATAATTATTTAACATGTGAAATGTGGAATGCAAAAATTAAAATATATATTAGTTATATTTAAAACTTAAATATTAGGTCGCACCACAAATGTCACTTTTCTTTTCTTTTTTTTCTTTTATTTTATGTACTGTAACTTTTAACCTCTCTCCTATATTGATGACGTGATTCGTAACGTGACATTATATTAACACATTTTACTTTTTTTTTAAAAAAAAATAACTTTTATTTTTATTTTTTTTACTTCGGGCAAAATTTAATATAGTTAGCGTTTCTAAGTATAATTCTATAATTAAAATAAAAATTTTATCTTGCGTGTTAAAGAATTGTATTAAAAATCATATTACTAACATAAAATTCAATTTTTATTAGAAAATAATTCTAAAAATATATAAGAAATTGCATCCTAAATTTTATCCTTTTAATTTTGACTATTTTGTCCTATATATTGTTTAGTATACATAAAAAGAACCCTATTAATAAATAGATTTTTTTTTAAAGTAAGCTTTGATACATTTTCTCAACAAAAAAAATAAACTACCTACAAGCATAATCTTTTTATTAAAAAAATGATGTAATTAAAATTATTTTATCAAAATAATTTATATACTATCTTAATTTGTTGAGTTTTTTTTATATAAGAAAATGACACCGAGAAATATAATTTTAATGTAGTAAAAGTTTAGAAAAAATACTATTTTTTTACAAAATCGATAAATACTTATGTGTATCTAAAAAAAAATAATTTATTAAATTTTAAATAAATGGATGATTCCATTACTTTAATTTATCTAATTACTATATATCCCCGTATCTTGACATATGCTTTTTTTTTTTCTTTCCATTTTATATGGTCTAATATATAGAGTGAAATAATGATGTAAAAGTATGTTCGCATTTCTTTGCACTGGATGTGTGTCCGTAAAACTATAAATGTAATTTTAATTATATATGAATTATCTACTTTTTCCAAAAAAAAAAAGATGATATTTATATTATATTAATAAAATATGAATAAAAATATAATATAAAACTATTTTATAAATGACTTGGTAAAATGCTTGTTGATATATTTATTTACCCCCAAAAAGTAAAATATACACTTTTATTTTATACTAGTGAAAATGAGATACTTCATGCATTATCATAAGAAAATGAAAAAATAAAATAAAAAATGATGAATTTTAAAAAGTGTGTAGCTAAGTTAAAAAAAATGAAATAGTTAAATAAATTAGTTAAAGGATAAAAAGATAGTTAAACAAATTAGTTAAGGGTTCTGTTTCGGTATGTCTAAAAGTCTCACATCGCTTAGAAGTCGAGGCTAAGGGTAGTTTATAAACATCTTTCCTCCTTAGCCCACCGAGGCGCTTTTTCAAGGACAAAATCGTAACGACCCAACGAGCGCTAAAACGAACAATACCTCGGATGCGGTGACCCTAACGATTACGGTAGAAATAGGTTCAAAAGATCAAAACAAAATGTGGACACTAAAATATAATATTTTTTTATTAATTTTATATCAAGGAGTAAAAAGGTAAAAAAATGTCACACCAAAATAGAGTATTCTTTTTATTAATGTTATTAGATAATGTAATTTGCTTCCTTTCACACCAGCAAGAAAAGCTGCTATTTAATTTAATTTATCCCAAATCCAAGAGAGGAGCAAAATAACAAAATTACCATGCGCTTCAGAGAAGCATGTAAAGGTACAATTAAAATATTTCAACATGAACGACATATTCTTGGTCCAATAGAAGATAGTTCCCAGTAAACATGCAATTTACATTCACATTCTGTTTGTTGTCAGAGAAAATGTCATTATGAAAAAGAAAGAAAAAAAAACTTTAAAATGTATACAACTGAAGTTTCAATAATGCTTCCATTGTCACAAAAAGAAAACCGAGTAGGATGCAAATTGCAAAACGACCAACAAGAATAATGTTGTTCGCTACAGGTAGCCTGTGGTCAAAATGAATGGTTTGACTATGCTATTTCATACATGATTGCACACCTCTTGGAAAAGCCATGTTCATTGTTTTGGTATACCAAATTGTAACTAGGAATACGTAGGAATCTTTATTTAACATCCTAACTTGACATTATATATTCTTGTGAAAGAGCTATTGAAGCCAATGAAAGCCCTGTTCAAATATATCTCTTTGATATTTCTGTGAGAATTCACATTAGGTAATGTTCATCTAATTGTGCAAAACATTCAATCGCCTTTAGGTTCTCAATCTTATCATGAATTGATTGCTTCTTTTTGTTACTACTACGTACCCACACCCATACAGCTCAGAAAGGCTAGCTTTTATTCTTGCCACCAACCCTAACCATTTGATATAATAACATTAAATTACCAGTATATATAACACAGCAAGAAGTAAGCTGAAATTCTTGATATACATATTTTTATGAGTAAACCTCGCAGAATCACAGGAATATATATAGGATCGAAGGCATTCTTTAGCACATGGTCGAGTTTTCCCAAATCCCGGTATTATATGTATATATATCTTTGAGGTTCTCTTGAACTTAGTATTTGTATATAGTCACAATCGTAATGGTGAATTTAAAGCATTAGAATCTCAGTTAGCATTAAGTTAAGGAAACTTTATTTAAAGCTTAAGTGCCTTGTGGTTGTTCAAACAAACTATAGTGGTTTCTACATTAATTACTACGACATTGATTTACATTATTATATATTCATGATGTTGTTTACAAGACCTGTTGCTACTCATTCTCCTCTTTCCACATCTTATGACTAATACAACAAATTAGCATAACCAGAAAGTTAAATGTGATCACTAGAGACTGTAACCCAGTTCATAATCTTGAAACATCCCTTGTGTTAGAAGACCTGGAGTAGTAGATGAGTCCCAGGAATTTGAGGATGCTGACTTGGTATCAGAATCATTGGACCACCAAATCAAGCTGTCCTTTGAGCTATTCATCTCTTTGAAACAATCAAATCCAGCCATGTCATGATCTTCCTGTGGCACACCATAACTCATTGTTCTGTTGTTGAGAATGTCATCAAGTTCAGTTTGCAGTGCACCAAGTTGCTGAAGTCCCACATTATTAGTCTGCTCAACAGCCTCAGCTCTTGGTGCAAGGCTTGAGTTCATTGTATTATTACTCCCAGAAGCAGCAAAGGGAACTCCACTGTTACTCAAAGGAATATTCTCCAAAAGATGAACCTGTGGGTTATTGATCTTTGCACCATCTTGTTGTGGCTTGTAGAACTCATCTTTTTGTCCTTGTTCATCATGTGGGGAAGGCAAGGCATTTTGCATCACAGGGTTAGATCCATCATTCAAAGATTGAAGGCCCTGGATCATCTTTTCTTGGAAGGGATGCAACTTGGGCCACAGCGCAGGGTTGTTGTAGAAAGTGAAAGGGTTTTGAAGGCTTTGAAGTTGCATGTGCAGTTGGAGTCTTTCAAGAGCTGAGCTGCTTAGGGCATTTGAATAAGAGTTCTCCTCTATTCCATTTGTGTCTTTTGCGTTGAAGTTAGATTGTTTGCGCCTCCCAAGCAATTTCTTCTTCAGTCTAGTGTTCCAATAGTTCTTGATGTCGTTATCTGTCCTTCCAGGTAACTGAGCAGCAATTATGGACCACCTATACATATAGATCATGTTGGAACTAGTTAAGTTAATTTCTAGGAATAACCAAAGACAAAACATGTGGTGCTAGCCAGAGATTCTAGTGACAAAGAAAACAGACAAACAACTACATGTTGAAAAACTACAGCACAAGCTCGTAGATAGAGATGAGGGTTTTGAGAGAGAATACCTGCTACCAATGCTAATGTAAAGGCTGCAGATGATGTTGTCTTCTTCTTCAGTAAATCCACCATGTTTGATATTAGGTCTCAAGTAATTTAACCACCTAAGTCTGCAACTTTTTCCACATCTCTTGAGCCCTGTGAATTATTTGTATCCATCAATAAGGTTTTTGCATTAATCGATGATTAATTATTATAACCAAAGTTCACCTTTCCAAAGCCAAACATAGGATTACTCTTGGACTCAATAAATATTCTAAGAGGAACAAAAAAAGAAAAAACAGCGTACCAATTTTCTGAGGAAGAGCAATCCAATTGCCACCAGTTCCATTATTTTCAATGTAGGCTTTAAGTGTAGCATCCTCTTCAGGAGACCATGGTCCTTTCTTCACATTGGCCTTGTCACAGCATGGAGCTCTACCCATCTTTTTGTGCTGTTATCTCTCTCTAATTAGGTTTCTCTTTTGAGTTTCTTGTTGAAGCAAATATCAAGATGGCTTTGCTCAGATTGTTGGGAAACTACGGCGAAGGAAGGGTGTGATTTATAGGTGGAAAGTATGGCTGATGTGATTCTTAAAAGGACAAAAAGTCTTACACACCTCACCCCCTCCATTCCCTCACTAGCTATTTTCAACTCCATATTTTTCTTCTAGGGTTTATTCATCTCTGTCTTTCTCTGTCTTCCTTTTTGGATTAGTTCGGTCACCGCGTTTAATTATGCATGCAACTGGACAAACGTAACATATATTTCTTCTTCTTTTTCATAAAAAAATTGCACTACTTTTTCACATCCATTAGTTTAATATTTGAACCCGATGCTGCATGTATTTGATCAATAGAAGCCTCCATCCTCTTAGTTTGTCGGCATTATCCTTGAAAATGTTCCATTGTCAAGCCATCCCAACTATCATTATTGTATTGAAGGTAAATGTACTGCTACCTTCCTATTGGTAATTAATTCTTAATTAAACTAAAACTACCCTTGTGTAATTAATTAATTAACCGGGGAATTCTCGTGGAAGATGTATGAAGGAGACACAATTTGCTTTGATTCAGTCAATAACGTGATTGTAAAAAGGCAAATAGATTTACGAAGAAAAGATGAACTTTCTGATTTATTAGTTTTGTAGCTAGCCTGTATCCCAATCAATAATGAAAATGTTGCACGTATATCATATTAAAAAAAATGCAAAACAAAAAAGGGAATTTAATTAAAGTCGCAAATTTTTTTTTTTTGGGTGAACAATTAATGACGCGGTTGCAATATTTAGTCAAAAACAAAATGTTGCATTGCTATCATGTGATCAGCTGATCATCTGTTTCGGACTTTTTGTTCTTTCTTCTCATCAGTGTTGGAATATTTTCCTTTATAAGTCAGCTTTGATCAATTTCAGATGTTTCATGATGCATGGTTGCCTTTAAATTAAAATTGAAAGAATATTAATTGCGACAAATTGGTTCATCGATCATGGGTTTGTATGGACTTGAAATGGAAGACACGATAACGCGGAAAGGGTTCTCTGAATATCTAAGCTCTACATAAATAGCAAGTGATATATTTCTTTCTTAAGGTCTCGACATAACATTATAAAATGTTAAGCAATTGATATGTTTGTCATAAACCAATACATATTTGTTGACGAGTTGATGATGAAAGTTAGAAAAACTATAGTCAATGCCTTGAAAATGTATCCATTGCTTTCACCACAAAACCATAACCAACGAACTGATTCTTATCTTGAAACCACACACCAATGGAAACTGGCATTTTTTCCGTCATGACGATATTGTTCAATTCATGTTATATGGCTTTCAAGTGCATCATATCACTTATCCACCGACCTCAAAAAAACACAGTTATTTAGCTTGAATTATTGACACGATATAAGAATTATTGAGTCCTAAAATTATTCTTTAACTTTTACTTAGAAACTGAAGTCTTTTATTATCAAGTAGTTAGGAGATCTATATTGCCATTATGGATCGGATGGATCTTTATTTAATTATGAGAATGAGTTTTTGAATATGTTTCGCAGACATTGAAAAACTTTGTAAATTATTATAATCAAAATAAATTTATTTTACATGTGAGCTTAATTTTAGTAATTTATAACTTATTTTTATTATTTAAGGCTAACTTATAAGTTGTTAGTTTTTTCTCTTACCTTCGTTAATTTTTTCAAAATCTTTTCACTTCAACTAACTAAATGTCTTTTTATATCATTTTATATTTACCAGTTAGAGATAAACTAATATTATTAAATATTTTTAATTTAATTTGTTAGTTTATAAATTTCTAATTTTTTAGTGTTTAACTTGTAAGCTAGTTTTTATCAAAATATTTTTTAGTGTTTAATTTCTAATTTCTAATATATTCTTTTATTTGATTAAAATTTAATAAAAATATATAAAATTATAAGTTTGATTCGTTAAATAGAAAGTAAGATCTGTAAAATTGTAGTTTTCAATAAATTTTAATTAATAAAAAAATTGGATCGAAAAGAATTTTTCGTATGTGAATTAAGATTGTTCTCAATCATTTAAGCCAAAAGTATGTATATCCTTACCTACAATGGCAGCCCTTAACACAGTCAGGGTGAGCGACCACCAGGACTTCATTTTCAGATGGGCACCAAATTTCTTTTTTAATTCATATAAATATAAAATAAAATTTACATAAATTAAATTATATAAGAAAAATGTTATTATAAAAAATAAATTAATCAACAATAATTTATCAATCGATACGTAATTATTTTATTTCTCATAAAAATGTATTTGTAATTTTAGAAAAATAAATCAATGATGTTAAAATAATTTCTCTTATTGCTAATAAATAAGGATTGTCTTGAAATTTTTTTCTTTTCCTTTATATATACATATATATAATCTATTGATTCTCTCTCTATTCTTTTAATTGTGATCTTTTATGCTTTGTTAAAATATTAAAATCAAATTAAAAACCTTTATTTATTAGCCATTGCAAATTTTTTGGTGATTGTTAATTTTTCTTCTTCCGTTACAACAAATTGAGAATTCAAAAAGAAGGTTTAAAAACAAATAATCAGATACTATTGTTTTATTTCGTTGTCATTTACTCATCAAAGATCCATAATTTGAATCATATATTTTAATTTAGTTTTTTGTCTATATTTTTTTAATTGTTTTAATTTGAACATGTTGCATAGAAAACAATCTTCTAGTTATCTAAAATGGAAAAGAAACAAACAAATTGAAATAGATGTTGATTCTGAAAAGGTGTTCTTGATAAATTTTTTGTTATAAAGATCTTATAATTTTTCTTCAAAATGATGTAAATCTAGATAATCTAAACTCTAAAGCTAAAATTTTTTTAGAAAGAAGAACTGTATAAAAATAATGAAGAGTTTGATATTTTAATTAAAAATGGTGAATATGAAGATAATTATCATAATAAAATCAAATATTTTAATGATAAAAATTAACATATCTATATTTGATAACTTAATTGGTATAATTCATTAGACATCTGCAATATAAAAATATGAAATAGCTTAAAAAGTAATTCATAAGATGAATTACTAAAAATTAATTTTGAATAAGATACGTCTAATACGAATGATCTTAAGAATATTTTTGATATCCTAATAATTTTAAAATAAAAAATACAAATAATTTTATGATATCATATTTTTAATTCGTACAAATCCTTAAAAAACTCAGGACTAGTCTTCTTTGCCTAATAACTATCACTTGTGAAAATAGACTCTTATTTATTCAAATTTATAGAAGATCAAGACACATTCTAATCCGAATAGCTTATTATAATTAAAAGAAAGGCTCCTTTGCAAGCCTTGGAGCTCGGGACTGATTGTGCAATAATGTAGTTATGAGATTATAAAAGTAGAAAATGAAAAAGTCAAACATTTGTTAAATTAATTGATTTCCTTTTTTAATCCTTTTTTTTTTTTGGCTAGGAATTAGTTGGGTTATTGTATATCAACACACAAAATACTACATTTTAATTGGTATTTTTATTTTATTCTTTGGTTCCTGTTTGACAAGTTGGGCAGGACAAGTTAAAGACAATAGGAAACTGTATCAAAATAAGAAAAGAAGTAAAACCAAACAGAAAGGTCCTTGCAATTCAATATTTTTTAGAAGAAGCACCACTCATTGACCTTGGTTTCCTAATTTAATACTTCACCTAGCGGTTTTTTTAATCAATAAGAAGGAAAATAAAGGTCCGGAACCGCACTCACTTAGAAATATAACAAGGGGAAACCATCAAATTCAAAAAGCACTTAGCTCCCAAATTTATAACATTAATATCTTTATCATCAAATAGTCTCGGTTCTTTAGGACGAAGAAAACATGTTTCTTCTTGTCTTTCTCCTTAACCAAGAATCTTTACATTGACGCTGTATTTCTTTTTCTGATCTTCAAGACAAAGGTGAAGCGAAATAGGGGGAAAAAGAACAGTGCATTTCATCATCGAGAAGACCAATCTAACGTAACAACTGGTGATTACAGTTTTTTATCACAGGATTAATCAAGGAAGGTGAACCCAAAAATATATTGTTAATTATGATTACTTTTTTTTTTTGGTAAAAAAACAATGGTAATTAGTGATTAACTGCTGAATTTTTTAATGTGTACACATGGTAATTAAGGATCTATGCAATATTATTTTATATAATTAAACCATAGGTAGGTACTCCTAAAATTTTAATTGATTGGTTATTATTTGGTTAAATTGAATTTATAAACAAAAATAATAATAATGAGAATTCTTTTTCTCACAACAATAATACTGAGAATTTTAAATCACTATAATATTTTCAATATTAAACTTGATCTACTAGTAAGTTTATTTTTATAAAATAAATATATTATTTTATATTATGCATGCCATTTCACTCTTTTTAATGTTTAGTACTTTCTAGCAGTGGAAACATAATCTGAATATTTTGGTGTTACACAATTCAATTTGTTTGATTTGCAACTCAACCACACGTTAGATTACATTTTCAAGTTGAGCAAAAAAAAAAAGGGTTTGGGTATACAATTATTTTATATTATGCATGCCATTTCACTCTTTTTAATGTTTAGTACTTTCTAGCAGTGGAAACATAATCTGAATATTTTGGTGTTACACAATTCAATTTGTTTGATTTGCAACTCAACCACACGTTAGATTACATTTTGAAGTTGAGAAAAAAAAAAAAGGGTTTGGGTATACAAAATCATGTTTTTTTTTTTTTTTTTTTTTTTTTTGAACAAGCAAAATCAGGGTTAAAAAGGGGGAAATATTAAGGGTACTAGTTAAATAATCAAAAAGTGATTTTTTTTTTATTAAAAATATTATCGATATACTTAAAATCATGATTTCTAATGCATTCCTCAGACCTAACGTAGTTTTTAGCTAGTAAACTTAAAATCATTCATTAGTCAGATCCTGAAAAACAAAATTCTAACCTAGGTTATAGAATTTTGTCAACAAACACGTAGTTCACATGCTGCAAAATATGATCTTTATTGTAGTGTCCTAAATGTTACAACTTTTATCTTTTTACCCTCTTTCATTTTTTCCTTAAATTCATAAGATCTCTATCTAGCTAGCTCATTTTAGGAAGATATTCTCTGAGAAGAAATAAGGGAATGTAGGGTATTGGGGATTGAAAGTTCACCACACAAGTCATAACCATAATTTTTTATGATTAGAAGAAATTAATACCAACTAAGCTATATTCCTCAACAGGTTTTAAGGCGCTTTACGCCCGCCCCCCACCCCACACACACACACACAAAAGAAAAACATTGATTTTAATTTTTCCAAATTAATTACTTGGTTTTGCTTTTGGTACATGATTAACTTTTATTCTGATCCAAAGATCGAAATACAACTTTGCTATCATGACACCTGTGATTCACTTTGATTAATTTACTCTTTTAATTTGTAGATTTAAGATAAGCATCAGATCGAAAAAAGTCGTTTAGTATAAAAATAACCAGTGATTCGCAAAAGATCACACTCTTGTATATGTCGTCACTGGGGTTGACAAAGATGCTGTTAGTAGACTTGGACGCTAAATATTTATCTATGTTAAGTATCAATTCTTCTTTAAAATGACACTAATCACTAATTGCAGGAGTCTACGTATACGTGTACGTGAGTCGTACTAATAAATAATTAAATAACATTCTAAACTGTTATTATTCTCGGTTCATGAACTTTTCGTAAAATATTACAATGCACATTATAAACAGACCCGGTTACGTTACTCTAATTGATCCCTTTCTCGAGTCACCCCCAACAAATGTCAAATTCTGAACTCTTTAAGTTACTTGTTTCGATAATACTGGTAACAAACCCATATATTTGATAGGACCACGTCTAAGATTTTGAGTAATACACAGAATTAGTGACTCTTAAAATAAAAGCCTCAATTACAGGAGTGCAGAGTATTACAATTAAGTTCAAGTTTTAGAATGCAAATTGTAATCGAGGAATGCTGCATGCACAAAATAAAAATTAATTACTAAATTTACTGATAGGTAATATTCGATAAGTTAAAGTAGTCAAAACTACTTTAGATCTACGAGTCAACAGCAATATCAATTATTCACTATGAGAAAGATTTTGAGGGCTCTTGCTATAAGATATTTTCTTATCCAGTTTCATATTCAAATATAGATGTTGTAACTAACTATAAAGATAGTCATTTGAGTGGTTTTCTTTTTTGTAAAACGTGAATTGCAACGTGAATGCTTTTGGTGGTGATTCATCATGTAGAATATGGACAAGTGTAAGAAGTCAGCATAGTTTGACTTGTACACAAAAGTCTACCCCGTGTTTTAGGTATGCAATAGCAGTACTAATAAAGGGCCAAGGGAGTAGATGTTGTATTGTGTCACACAAATTGACCTTGTGGATTTTCTTCACATTTAGAGTTGGTGATGCTACACCATCTTTCTTAAAACTTGATTATATAATCATTGGGAAACCATTATATGAAACCAATGATACTTACTTTAGATTGATGTAGGATATATAGGCACAGTAAATTAATGGAGTCAACCATGCATGTTAAATTTGTGATTTTTTTCACCTAACACAAAGCTTTGATAAGTGATTCTTTTGTCTGATAAAATCGTCTAAACGTACGACGTTTTTCTTTTTCTTTTTTCATATTGTTCCGTCACTGAGGAGTTACGAAAATAAACATGTCCACGAGTTCTAGCTAGCTTCTTATTCTTATTAAATACCTAAAAATAATATGATGATTCTATTAAATAACATGGTAACATCTAATATTTATCCCGATCGAGTATCTGAACCTAAAATAGGCTCATTTACTTCTACGCTTAAAATTGACAAAATTATAATTTTCAATAAATATTTCTGTTTGATCTTCTATTGCTAATTCAAAATAATACTTTGCATGAATGAGCTCGTGATAAAAATAGTTAACAGTGACAAAGATAAATATTTAAAATTTAGTGAATACATGATGACTTTACAATAGTTAGACTTAGATGTACAAATCAACAAACATATTAGATAAGGACTGCTGGTAGGTTGCCATTGAAGTTTTTATGACAGATTAAAAGTTTCTGATGAAGACTTATAGCGGAAGAAGAAAAAAAAAACTAATCAAAATACTGTCATTCAAAAAACTTCCTTTAAGAGACGAAACAGAAATAATAATAAAAATAAAATGAAAAAATAATTTAGAAAACTAATTTAAATGGAATAAAAAAATTAAGAATTAAATTAAAATCTAAAGTTTTTTTTTCCCGAAAATCTAGATTAAATTTAATAAATAAAAGTTGTAAATACTTTTTTTTAAAACCACAACTTTATTTTACTTTTCTATTTATTAATAACAAAAACAAAATACATTTACATGCAGAAATAATTTATAAAAATAAATTAAATAGAATAAAAAGGAAAACATTTATAAAAAAAATTAAGAAAAAATTAAATAAAAAGTTAAATTTTTTTCTAAAATCTAGATTAAATTTAAAGAATAAAAATTACAATTTTTCTTTAAAAAAATATCACTACTTTATTTTACCGGTCTGTTTACTAAATATAAAAATTGACATTGACTTGAAGAAACAGTCTAGAAAACTAAAAAGATGGAATAAAAAAAGAATTGATAAAAATTTAAGAATTAAATTAAATAAAAATTTAAAATTGTCTATAATATACATTAAATTTAAAAGAATAAAAATTATAAATTCTTTGAATTTTTTTAAATATGACTACTTTATTTTGCTGTGCTATTTACTCCTTTCATTACAATTTTTATTTCATGTAATGAAAATTAAAATTAAATAACATTTTAATATTCTATAATAATAAACAATTTATAAATAATTAAAAAGAAAATTAAAACCTCACAATAAAATGTTAGAAAACTAAATATTCTAACAGAAATATTTAACAAGTTAGAACGTTTGCTTTATTATTGTAAGCATTGATATTTTTCTTACAATTACCATTTTCCAAGGCACAAGATTAGTACACAATCTGAAAAATGATACTCGGATTCGGATACTCATAGGAGAGGCCAACATATTATGAATTATCTCCCATATCAAACTCACCGGCGCCTCAAGTAGTATGAAAAAAATTACCTTTATTTATACAGCTTCAAAAGCTTAAACACATCTTTAAGTATGCACATTCATGTCATTATGAATATACTATATCAATATGATATATAATAAAGCAATTCAAACAAAAATATTGATGACAAATTGAAATTGTTCCATCAGCAAATGGGAAGCACAATTCGTCATTATCCTCTCCATGTGAAAGCACAGGAGATATGTCATTGGTTGATTTATGTACACATCTCTCCAGAAGGCATGGTTCCTTAGTGATGGTAAAGCCACAACTACTGCTACCATCACCCTGATCACGTATAAAACTGCAAAAACCAGATAGAGAACTAATAAAATTACGCATTACCAGAAAAAATATATATATACATATTTCTGGCTAGTATCTGCATATTAACAAAATAACTCACATTGTGACATATTGATGTTTCACATTGTGGCTAGTATCTTCAGAACACCATGCTGCTTCTGGGAGAGAATCCATGCTATAGTGCAAGTAACTGCACCAAGGAAAATACCATTGAAGGCAACATTACAAAAGACTTTTTAGACTAAACCAAGGCATGATGATACTACGATACAAGCTTGTATAATAAGCTTAAATACTCCTTTAAATTATTTTTTCCCTTTCTAAAGCTAAGCTTGTTGGTGCCTTGAACTGGAAGAACCATGCTTCACCTTATTTCCCTTCTTTTACCAATTCTAGGCTACATACAATGTGAGAAGGCCAATTAACTGATTCAAGATCAATTGACTACTTCACATTCATTGAAGCGGCCATACTCCTCAGCTTCTTTGAAATTTCTGAAAAAGATGGCCTTTCTACAGGATCAGAAGCCCAACAACTTTCCATTAGAGACTTCCACTCAGGATCACACCATGTTGGGATTTGAGGACGTAAAGTGTTGTTTACTATTCCTCCTGCAAAATAAGGTACGACAATTGTGAATATCATCACCAGAACTTCAACTTAAATTATACATTACAATGTTTTCTTTTCTTTTTTTTTTCATTAAGGGAATGTCTTCAAAGATGAACTTAAATTCTCCAATCTCAAATCCTACTGTCTACATCTCAACAAGGCTTCAGTTGGAAGTTATGTACTATGATTCTCTCATCTGTCAAGCTACAACAGAAAAATCTGAACAAAAAACAACGCTGTTGCTGTGACATACAAACCAGCTAATCTTTAGGGGGGGAACTGACGCGGGAGAAATTTTGAGAAACCTGGTAGTGTGGTGGAATGAGATGTGCTACTCTGGAATTAAATCAGAACTCAAAAATACATGATTATAAACTTGATACAGAGACAGCCGCAGAAGACAATTCAAAGAAAAATTAGGAAAGAAAGTGAAGAAGAGAACAAGAACTACAAATTAATGATTAAGTGGGACTGCCAAAAACAAAATTGCAACAATTCATGCTGGTGTTATCTGGCTTGAATAAATTATATCCAGATTCACTTAAACCACAGCTAACAAATTAATTTCAGCATTAAGTATAAAACTCAAATTTAAAAGCAGTCAGTTGGTGACTTCCGGAGTAAAAAGAGTACCAATACTCTTAAAAGCACATTTTAAACAAGAGTAAAAGAACAGATAGAATAATTTTGCAACAGTAAACGTAAGTACAATACATAGTGAGACGAAGTGCTCTATGCATTTTGTTTTTTACTTGGTTCTCACCTATTATTGAAGCACAGTGCATATCAGTATAGGGTTCATCTCCTGTGAGTAATTCCCACATGACTATTCCAAATGAGTAGACATCAATCTACAGCACAAGCAAGTATAGATGCAAGGAAATATCATCAGAAAAAATGAAAGGAGTATTAGCTATGTAACGTCAAACAGCTATGCCAAGAATACCTTATCTGACACCATATTGCTTTTCCCACTAAGAAGTTCAGGTGCCATCCATGGCAAAGTCCCCCGTACTCCACCAGACACTAGAGTGTGCTGTTTAACCTTTGATAAACCTAAGTCTCCAATCTGAAAAATTACACAAACCCCATTTCAATTTCTGCTAGCAGGTTGCTGTTGTGTGCATCAGTGTATGTATCCTTATGGGTACCTTACAGACAGGCCGTTGAGGATCTCTCATATTGACCAATAAATTCTCACATTTCAAATCAAAATGCACAATGTTTTTTCCGTGCAAATACTCCATCCCAAATGCAGCATCCATGGCTATAATAAGCCTCTTACGACGATCGATTGTTCTGTTAAATTGCTCAGAATAAAAAACATAAACAATACATCCCCAGCCATTAGGGTTTTTAGATGGGAGGCTGCACATTTCAGTGCTTTAAAACATATTAAATATTGATTAAATATAAACCCATGCATTCATCAAATTACCTATCTTTCTTATGCAAGAACTGTTTCAAAGATCCATTAATCATGAACTCTGTGACCGTTGCTAAAGAACCATCGGGACCATCACGAACAATGCCATAAAAGGAGACAACATTTGGATGATGCAAAGAACTCAACATCAATGCCTCCTTCCAGAAATCTGCTATCTGGGACAACAACCAGAATGAAATCACTACATAGAGCTGGGGATCTAAAACAAGATTCGATGTATACAAAATTACATTAAAACATTTTTACTTTCCCTATCATTCCTCTGTTCTAAATATCCTTATAATGGGGAAATTTAGATGTTGATTTCATCCTACGCAGAGTGAATTTCTATGTAGAAGTGACACTAACTATACATCTCTTAACAGGGCAATCCAATAAACCAGCAACTCAATCTGATCCATGACATCAATCCCAAAAGTAATTATATATTATGCATATCTAATACCTTGGAATTTTCTCAGATATCCAATATTCAGCCTATTGAAGAACTCATCAAAGTAACTTTTTTTTTGCCAGTAAACTTTTTGAGCAAGATATTGAACATTCATGACAGATTGGAAATTCTTATTCTAAAAGTTATAAATCTATAGTTATTTAAACCGAAGGAAAATCTAATAGACAAAAATAATACCAATCTTGCTCTTTCAGATGGCCTTCCAGCAAAACAACTGGCTTTTATTCTCTTAATGGCAACGTCAGATCCTTTCCATTTCCCATGATAAACAGCTCCATAGGTTCCAGAACCAAGTTCACGGATTTCCTCCAAATCATCATTTTTAATAGTCTGAAAATGATCAGTCAAACATCAAACTATAGACAGTGGAAAAAGGAAAGCCAGATATGACCTCTAAACATGAAATGATGTGAACATTATGGATTTGAATAAGATGGAAAGAAAACCTGCAATCCCCTAGCAATTGCTTCTTCCTCAGCCCTTGTAGGCTCAATTTTAGAGGTATCTACTTGGTCATTTTCAGGTTCCAATTCTAAATCACCCTGAGCATTCTACAAGACAAAATAAAACATATCAAAATATGAGGCAACGCAACCACACCTCCCCTCAAGAAAACAAATTCACTTTTAAATTTTGAAGAAAATAAAATCACTTCATCCTTACTGCTGCTTCCACTTCATTTGCTGTTTCAGCTTTGGCATCTGAATGGCGATTTTGAGAATTGGCAAGTTTACCAGCTGTCGCTTTTGCCTCATCGGCATCTTCTAATGCAGCCTTTTTTACAGAAGCAATCAAATCAGGCAAGAAGCTGAACTGATTAACTGAATGCTTAGAATCTTCTGGAACAGAATGGTCCTTATCAGCCAGTTTCTCAACATGCCCACAGTCTGCTTCAGGTTTTGACTTTGAATTATTAGACTCAACAAAAGCAGCATCTTCACATGCATTCTCAACAATTTTATTTTGCTCTGAAGATACAGTCTCGATATCAGACTTTTCAACCTTCTGCTCAATTTTTATCTCTAATCCTTCTCTAAGCAAACTATTAGGTTCAGAACTCTTTGATTCAGCCACATGAGTATCATTTCTTAAAACATCCTGATTGTGAACCATATTAGATGATTTTGGCAGCTGCACAGGTTCCAAGTAGGTACCAGCATTCTTGTCCTGTGGGGGATGAATGGTTTCTCCAACAACCGGGAGTTGATTTTCTTGACCAAGGGGGGTTGGATTCAACTTCAGAGCATGTGCATATGGATATTCTGGGATGGCTGCAGCATCATGTCCTGCCAATTTCTGTGAGGAATCAACCCAATTAGGTTGACCATCTGGCCCCATGAAAAATCCTGGACTGCCCTCTCCCCTTATTAATCCTGCATTTATCATACCGTTCACTTGCTGAGGTGCAGTAGCTGCCTCATAAGTTGGTCCAACATGAACAGGCATTGGAGCGTTTCTCCAGAAACCAGATGGATGTCCACGGGGCACAGCGTAATTGCTATCTACTCCATAAGCAGAAGGTGAATTTCCATACCTCAAATTGCATTCTTCCAGTGGAGGAATTTGTATAGGTGGTATAGCAGGCACAGTTTGGTCAGGGAACAGTTCGGTCCCCACTTCAGGTCCAGCCTGCTGATGAACATAATTGGAAGGCAATGTATGTCCATCAGCCACACTACCAATCCCACGAGAGACATTTACAACGGGAACATCATTCACTCTTCCAGATCCAGAGACATGTCCTCTTGGTTCCTCAACCCGAGAAGTTGGCTGATGCTGCAAACCCCATCCTCTCTCATGATTCTGAGTATCGGTATAAACAGGCCTATGATCATTATTAGGTTCATTGGGATAGATTAGAGGATGTAACTTTGTATCAGCATTCACCATGTAAGTATCCCTATTCGGTGGGCATTCTGCACATGGATTAGCAACTGGCGCAAGTCCATTAGTAAGATTAGAATGCTCCAAATGTGGTTGACATCTCTGAAAACCCATGCGACGCTGGTCACATATACTGTTCCCATCAAGAACATGGGGACTGTGAAGAACATTGCCTGCGAAACCCGATTTTTCACCATGTGTTGCTCCAGTCTGCACCCACATAACATTTTCAGAATATTGTGGTTGATTGTCATACACAGGATGATGATTTACATGATGTCGAGCATACTCTTCCGGCACTCTATCAATGCCTTTATCTGAAAATTCAGTATATGGCACACGGTACCTTGTACCGGAAGGAGAAGATGGATACTCAACCAATGACCTGGAATCAGGGAGACCATGATGCCTAGGAGAGTAATAGGCAGGATTCCAAGGAGCATCCATTTCATTATATCTCTGGCCCATAGTTTGCGTGTGCTGGACTGTTAAATGATGCATATTGTACATAGATAAGTCCCCACTTCTCTGGCTATGAATCCCAGTTTCCACACTGATTGGATTAAAGAACTGATCAGCCATATGTATGTCCTCAACAGGGCCAATCACAGGAAAATCCCCTGGTTGCAACCTCCTAAACTCAGAAGCATCATTTAAACTATTCAAAGCATCCACATACCTCCTCTCAGTATCATCCCCATCAATAAAATGAGAGGAACCATCGTGCTCGGATTGTGAAAACAGAAAAATCCTGAGCCTAGTGAATCCATCCCCTGACCCCAACTTATCATACTCTTCCATCATGTTAACCACATCATCATCATTGACAACAGAAACAAGGGCATCAAGATCCTCATCAGGCTGCTGGTACTTCAACACAGCAGCCGCATCATAGAGCTCTCTCATCTTCCCCATCAACTCCTCATAGCTAACATCTCTTTGAACACTCACAATTCGGGTCTCACCACCAACATAACGAAGCTTCCCATCTTGGGGGCGAGGCATTATGCTCCCCAGAAAGCTACACAAGAACTTAACACGCCGGCCTTCATCACCGGAACCCGAACCGGTGGCCGGCGATCGAATTGGACTATCCATGAAGAATTCTTGCCTATGATCAATCACACTCTCACACTCGCTCAAGCATTGAATCCCTTTATTACACATGAGCACCACTCACACCATCACAACTCACATCACATCTAACAACTCCAAAGTTTCACAACCGCCTCCCACCCAATAGGTGAGTCTATGATTTCAAATTACGTTAAAGATAAGGAAAACAAATAAACAAATAAACAAATAAATAAATAAATATTAAAAGGTCAATCGCATCATATTTCTGAGAACAACCACGAGCCGATTGCAGATCCAAATTCAGAGAGAACCATCAGCGATACCCGGTGAATAGCGCAATGCCCAGATGGAAAAATTTGAAATTTGGGAGTGAAAATATGAGCGAAAGGAAAATAATTAACGGGCTCGGGCAGTGTCGATGGTTCTCTGGAACACAGTATAACCTAGGGTGTTGGGATTGCAGAAAAGGGTGGTGAGATTGAGAAAGAGGAAAAGGAGAGAGATTCGGAAGGGAAGAAGAAGGTGGTGATGGACATGAGAGTGGGGGCTGTGTTGAAGGATGGAAGATGCGATGGCTGAATGCCATGTAGAGTTACACGTGGCACGCTCTCGTAACGGTATTTCTTGGCATATTATTTATCTCCCTCGCATATGCCATTTTGGCTTACGCTCCCTTCTGCATGTCAATACCACACCTTCCATCTTTTTTTCTTTTTTCTTTTTTCTTTTTTCTTTTTTTTTTCTCCTTCGTCAATTTTCTCAGTTCCCCTCGCCACCCACGAATTGTGTCAACTGAAATATACGATTTTGATGTTTTCGATGATGTTTTTCTTTAGTTGATACACAATTGAGAAGCCGTGGAAGTAAGATTCTGCGTGTTTCACTTTGGTTTGGTTTTGGTGCACAAAATAGACTGAATCTGAAAAAACTTTTCCATGGATTGTTTTGATTAATATCACGGATTTCGAAACTTATAAATATACTTGCATAAAATATTTTATATGATAAAATTTATAATAAATATAAAAAAAACTTATTTTTAATATTTATAAATTATATTATAATTAAAATTTATAATAAATATTTTTTATCACATAAATTATATATTATATTTTATAGTGTGTTACAATATTATTTTTAACTACTGATAATTTCTTTTACAAAATTCTAAATTTAATTTTTAAATAAATATAATAAATTGTTAAAGATTAGAGGTTAAGAAAAAAAATTTAAATCTTCTCCCACAAAAACAACTAAAAATACTCATAATATTTCTAAATTATATATGGAGATAGGAGAAGATATGAAAATTTCATAAATTTATCATAAAAATATGAAAATTCATTATAAAAATTAATAATAATCTTTAATTTTAGAATTCTGATTGATATATATAT